CCTACGATTGGGGGCCGATTGAGGGCCTGACTTGAGCGCCCGAAAAAGCCGAAAGGATGTCCGGAGGTTGTATTCAGGGGCCCCGGCCCGCAGGGCAGGGCGCTCCAATGCCAGCTAGAGGGCCCTGCGCGCTGATCAGGGGCCATGTGAGTAGATAAGGCCCTATATGTCCGTCAGACACCACTAGTGACGCAAAGCCGGCTCCATAATGGCATGGGCCTGAAGACCCATTTCCCAAGCAGGGACAAAGCCGGAGCCAGCGTTCCATTGGTCGGGATCCTAGTGTCTGCCAGAGCCCACAGTGCCTAACGAGGGCCCTGTGTTAGAAGGGGACCGAGTCGGCCAGAGGCAGTGTTCGAGGAGGCCCGGAGAGGCTGGAGAACCCCCGGGTCTGACCATGAATGGCCCGATTGTAGGGTCTAACGGCACGAAGGCCTGGCCGGAGTCTTATCCAGCGGCCCGGCCTACGGGAGCGGGCCCTCAAATGACAGTCAGAGAGCCATTTGCCCCGATCGGGGACCCCTTAGTCGATATGGGCGTATATGTCGGTCAGGCACCACCAGCACCGCTCAGTCGGCTCCGTGTCGGCATGGGCCTGAGGGCCTGCTCCCCAATCAGCTAGAAGTCGGGGGCAGCGAGTTAACTCGTCGGGACCGTTGTATCTGTCAGGGGCCACAGTGCCTAACTCGTCGGGACCGTTGTATCTGTCAGGGGCCACAGTGCCTAACTCGTCGGGACCGTTGTATCTGTCAGGGGCCACAGTGCCTAACCCGTCGGGACCGCTGTATCTGTCAGGGGCCACAGTGCCTAACTCGTCGGGACCGTTGTATCTGTCAGGGGCCACAGTGCCTAACTCGTCGGGACCGTTGTATCTGTCAGGGGCCACAGTGCCTAACAGAGGGTCCTGCTTTTGCAAGGGGCCCCGAGCCGACCAAGGGAAGTGCTCGATGAGGCCCAAAGACGGGCCCGGGCGGCCCACCGGAACCGACGATCAATGGCCAAGTCAGAGGGCATAAGGGCCTGAAGAACTGGCTGTAGGTCGCGTAAATAATCGCGTCCCGTTGAGTCGTTACCTGAAATATCAGTCAGAGGTCCTTTTGTATCGTATTAGTATCCCCTGAGATAATGCGTGTGTCGAAGTCGGCCATAGACCACGAACACTGAACAGCTGGCTACCTGCCAACATGAACCCCTGGGGGCCCATTTCCTAACCAGGAACAAGTCAGCGGCCATGATTTGCATTGGTCTAAGTCCCAGAAACAATGGTTGGGATCCCTGTGTAGGTCAGAAGCCCACAGTACCCAACAGGCGTCATATGTCGGCTGGTGGCCTCGAGTCGGTCACGGACTTTGCTTTGGAAGGTCCGAAGGGCTGCGACCTTAAATGCAAGTCAGAGGGCCTCTTGCCTCAGTTGGGGGCTCCTGGGACCGTGTGTGCCTCTATTTCGGCCAGAGACTACCAACACCGGACAGTGTTGGTCTGGGCCCTTGGGGTCCATTTCCCAAGCATGGGCAAGGTCAGGCGCGCGATTTGCACTAGTTGGGTCGCTGAAACAATGAGGATATCGGTCAGGGGCCTACAGCATCTAACAGGGGGTCCTGTGTCGGCAAGTGACCCGAGTCTCCAGCAGCCGTGTTTACGGGGGTCCGAAGAGGATCCAGAAAGGCACGTAGTGCCGTGACCTACAATCTCAGTTAAAGGGCTTCTTTTATGGCCCTCTTATGAGGATTTCCTATCTCTATTATATAGAGCCTCGACACGGAGCCAAACAGTCGGCCAATGCAAGTCTGAACACTTGGGACACGTTTCCCAAGCAGGAACGAGGCCGGGCCCACGTTTTGCAATGTTCGGGGTTCCTGACACAATAAGGGGCTCCTGCGTCGGTCAGAAGCCGCAGTGCTCAACATGGATCCTGCGGCAGCAAGTGGCCCCTAGTCGGCCACGAGCCGTGTTTTAGGGGACTCGAAGAGGGACTTAAGCATCTCTCGAGACCAAAGATTAAGGGGCCCTACTGGAAGGCTGAAGGGCCAGAGGGGCAGGCTGTAGGTCACGATAAGGACCCCAGCTCGTAGGGCTGTGATCTAAAATGTCAGTTTGAGGGTCTCTTGCACCTGTTGGAAACCCCTGAGACAGACCGCTCCTTTATTTCGGCCGGAGGTCACCAACACTGAACAGTCGGCCCCGTGTAGGTCTGCGGTCTGGGGGCCCACTTCCCATGTAGGGACAAAGCCGGGCCCCGATTTACATGGGTCTGGCCCGTGAAACAATGCGGGGCTCCTTTATTGGTCAGAGGCTCACAATGTCTAACAGGATGTTCTGTGTCAACAAGGGGCCTCGAGTCGGTCAGGGGAACATTTACCCGATAGGAGCGGAGACGGGACCCCGAATGAGGGCTAAAGGGCTTTTTGTGTTGGTCTTGAATGGAAATGAAAGGAAACATGAAATATTATGATGAGTGTTCATTTTGAGACAATGTAAGGTTCTGTGCCAGTCAGGACCCCAGTATCGAACGATGGGCCCTCCAGTCCAATGCAAGCATGGTCCGCAAAGCCGAACTGGAGTCTATGTGCCAATTATTGGACCAGCTGCGGTGATAAGGGATGTTGTTGTATCGATGAGGCCTCATGTCGAGATTCGGGGCCAACTGCGCGGGTTAGAACGTCTCCCGCGTCAGGGAACCATTGCGATTTGATGCATCTCTCTAAGGGCCTCGGGATCGACCAGGGATCTCGCCCCGAGTCGCCAGAATGGCAGCCGGGGCCACACGGCAACGGGACAGAATGGCCCTTCGGCCCTTAACCAGGAACGACAATGTGTCCTGCAATGTTTTGCTCAAGGGGGCTCTATACCGGGAAATAAGGGTTCTCATTTGTTACGTATAGAGTGGATCGAAATGTGTTCAAAAAATGAACAAGGCCATCCCATGTTTGCCTGAGAACGCCTCTTTTTGCAAAATCGACTAGTGAAACAAACAACATCAAAATGTCTGACTCTGCGCGCCCGCAGTCCTAGAAGTAAGGACAGCGATGGTCTGGGTTGCAGCTTCCATAAACTGAACGACGTTTGCCTCTGTAGCTAACACCAGGCGGGGGGCGCCGTTTGCGCGAGAGTGACCGTCGTGAAATAATGGTTGCGAATGTTTTTCAAAGTCAGTTCGCACCATTCAAAGATTTGACTGGGCTTATCTTTCTTACAACTTTGAGGTTTTCCTCTGAACAGATTAACAGCTACAGAAACACGAAAAAATTGACCTTACTCTTCCAGTTCCACCACCAGATTCCAGCAGCGCTTCGTGGTGTTTTAAGGGCCAATCCGTTCAATTCATCAATATAAGAATTGCGCGCCTGAAATATTCGTCCAGACTACATTCGAAATGTTTGATTTGATATCCTAGGGTTCAAAGGTACTTGTTTTAGATATGCCATCGTTTTCACCACCCGTTGGCTTAATGTTAATCGTGAAGCAGACGTGTGAGCAATGGAGACTGCAACCCCCGGCGTCGACGCTTTTGCTGCCAAGATTTGCAAGCGCGCATGTTCAAAACCACGTTGCATAATTTGTATAACTAATCGATACTGAGATAACGTTGAACGCTTCCAGACAAACATGGCTTAGCCTTGTTAATACAAATTGCTGACCCAGTTCGATTTACAAGCTGCACTCACGGATTCCGTTACATCTCTGTAAGACCGAGATAAAAATTCTGAAAATCTATGAGTTTTATCGGTTTGAAAATAATCCACTAGACCATTGTCAAATGAGGAGAGCCGGTGGTTTATTTCATGCAGTCATTCAACGTATGATTTCTTCAGTTTAATGAGGATCGATTTCAGGCAGAATTGGTCTCGCGGTAGCTTCTGGCTTCTTTTCCTGTATAGATTGTGAAAATGAAAATATTAAAGTAAAACGCATGCTCTCATGAACGAATGGGACATATCCGGTGATTTCGTTTGGGGGGGGGGGCTGTCTGTCTTTGTCAATCCTGTACCCCCCCCCCCCCCGCCCCACCTGCCAAGGCTCTGGCTGCGCGCCCGGTTCCATGCGTTTCAAGACCAAGCTGTTAAACCTAGCAATGAGCAGATTTAGCCATCCCTCGCTTGGAATGAGATGAAAGGAGGCGGTCGCCCCGCTGCGCCCATGTTTTCTAGACCACCCGTAAGTTATCAGCTGGGACGCGCAGAGTTCCTTCACCGACATGGCTACTAGAACTACACTCACACCTCATATCTCTCAATAGGTGTTCTGTTTGTGGTATGCTCTGCAGTGATATTGCGACATATTTCGCCACCTTCTACAGCAAACCCATGTGTTTTGACTAGTGTCAGGTACCCACGTAGGTTCGGCGACTTTAGAGACGGTACTGGAAAGGCTTTCGTCACCCAGCCCTTCTGCGCAAACTTACATTTGTAGACATCTTGGTCGCTGTCCTTAGGAATGCTGTCGAATTTCGCTTACATAAAATGAGCCAACCACCATAATGTTCTGATCTATAAGCTAACGAGTTTATGGAAAGATCGGGCGATCGGGCGTGGATAGATTTTTAACGGAGACGCCATCTGGTGGTTGTAGCCCATGCACGACAAGATAAGGGTATGTGTGTCTTAGCTCGTCTGACATGTAAATGTCAATCCCACTCCAGGGGGGATTTGAAATTTCATGGTCGTCCCGCGATGCATATTAGATCTCTTGTGTTTCGTTGGCCAGCAGCCAACCAAAACAATCAAGGCGCGAGCAACAGCAACGTGCCAACATTAAAGGAACGGTGCTCACAGATTCGAAAAGGCTCAACACTGATCCTATAGTGATATGTGGCGATAACTTGGTTTGAAAGAGGTTTCGCACCCTTGCCTTGAATGTTAACTCCTGAAGCTAATATATATATATATATATATATATATATATATATATATATATATATATACTGGGGTGCAGGTGCATTTGACTTGCCCGATGACAGCTAGCTTCCCCAGGCTACACGCGCGTGAGCCGGTCATGACAGTTCAGGTCTGGTAAGCCGTGCCGGCCGGGACGGTCGGCTGACTCCTGCGGCGGGACGCATCGAGCTGGGGACGGCGTCTTACTCATTTCTCGCGAGCACGGGAGCGTATCAGCCGGCTGCAGTGACCTCTGGTCGCCTGATGGTGACCTCTGGCCGCCCGACGGTGACCTCTGGCCTCCTGGAGTTAACCTCTGGCCGTCCGACGGTGCCCCCTGGCCTCCTGACGGTGACCTCTGGCCGCCCAATGGTGACCTCTGGCCACCTGGCGGTGATCTGTGGCTTCCTGACGGTGACCTGGCCGGAGTCGGCGGCTCTTCCGCCAGAGTGCCGACGAGAGCCTCCATCCCGGCTGGCGACGCTGCGGCCGTGGAGGCCGAGAGGCGGCTGGCGCTGGTGCTGATGGTGGCCGGCGTGGAAAGCAGGCTACTGTCGGGCTGGTCGCGCCGCTTCAGACTGAGCAGGCCGGGCCGTCGTCGCCCTTCGCTGGAGCCGCGCTTCTCTGTCTGCCGCGAGCCCAGCGTGCGGCCGCGCACCGTCGTCGACTGCGCCTGCAGCAGCCGCCGTCGCCGCCGCAGCAGGAAGAACACGCCGAAGTTGAGCACGCCCCCGATGTTGCAGAAGGTGGTGGCGAACTGGTGCATGATGAGAGGCGGCGGCTCCAGCAGCTGCCACACGCCCCACACCACCGATGACCACCACTGCACGAAGAAGGCCGACACGAACAGCATGCTCGTGCGTGCCGCACGCGACGCCGAGCTCGCCGCCGTCGACGACGCCTGGCACAGCACCTGTGCGTGCTTCTTCTCCTCCTGGTAGATCTTGCGGTAGGTGAGGATGTACACGATGACGTTGGCGCTGAAGAAGATGACGAGCGGCGCAACCGAGAGGAGGATGTGGGCGAGGACGCCGCTCACCGGGTCGAAGTAGCAGAAGGAGCCGGTCGGGCCGTACGCCCCCACCGCTAGGCAGAGCACGTCCAGCACCAGCGAGCCGCCGAAAGTGTAGGCCAGGAGCTTCCAGTCGCACCGGCCGAAGCGGACCGTGCGCTCACGGTGGATGGTGACGCACGCGCTGACGGCGATCAGGTTGACCAATAGGTGCTGTGCGGCGATGAACTCGCTGATGACGAACGAGTAGAGCGAGCAGAGCCAGGCGGGCCGCACGTGGTCGGCGTACCACAGGTACTGCGCGTGGTCGAACAGGTGCACCAGGTTGAAGCCGCCGTCGCACACGGCCAGGTAGACGATGTTGCGCTCACCCTGCGTCCAGTGGAAGAAGCGCACGCGGCCGACCGTCCAGTTGCAGTGCACCGACCAGGCGATCGTGCAGACGACGCACACCAGGCTCAGCGCGATGCAGAACAGCGCCGGCACGTGTATGCTGTACAGAAGGCCCTCGGCCAGCCCATACACGGGCAGGTCGTAGCCCGACTGCGGCCTGGTCGCGTTGGTCGCCATAGCGGCCGGCTGGCGACGACCTTGCCGCCACCGGCCGGTGACCGGACGCGCCGGCCCCGGCCCGGGCGCCGCCGCGTGCTCGCGCCGCGCCGCCGACTGACCTGGCCGCTGCTCGACGCCGCCGACTGAGCAGGTCGGTGCTGAGGGCGCCGCGGACGGGCGCAGCGTCGATTCATTGATGTCGTTGGGTGACGCCCGTGGACGCGTCGCCGAGCCGGTCTGCGCTCCCGCACTCGCCTGACAGGCCCGGCAGCCCCGCCGGCTCCGGCGGGCCGCAGCTGTATTTGTGCAGGTTGGCGACCATGTTCGCGGCTGTCGGGCAGTTTGTCGGTATCAGCCGAAGTCAGAGAAAAAGTGGCTGTTGGATGGTAAGCGGCATGGAGAGGTACACACAATAACCTGCCCCAGTTTTTCTGTGGTACGATGCCAGTTGAAGACATCTGTTTGCAAATCGAGACAGCGTTGGAATGAGCCGCAGCTGAGAAATAAATACCTTCACGGCATGGATTAAGCCAGCTACATCTAACGTGTAATTTGTTCTAGAACAGGAGGCAGAATATATGACTCCAGAAAGCAGCTTTTCACCGCAGCAAATCTCGAACAACAGCTATTGTGATGTTTTCACTTTGCCTTCGGACGTGATTGGATCGGTTAAATTGCCGTTGCCATGAAAATACTACCACCACGCTTTGTCTCCCATAGAGCGCGTGCTAAGGTCGGAGCATGGCAAAGTGACTATCTGGTTGTCGCGTTGGGGAAAATGGGGCATTGTGTTACAAGGGTGTGTTGTTACAAAGTCGAGTGCCGCTGAACAGACGACGGGATGTCTCGCCAATCGATTAGGTGCATGTGTGTTGCCATAGCAACCTCCTCTTGCGCATTTCGGGGCAGTAGTCGAACAGATTTCTTTCTCTAGCACTGGTGTTGCCCCAATATGTCGTGAGATAAGACATAGGGTTTGGTACCAGCCATTTATGGTTGTGATGCGGTCGCTGAGCAAGCCTGTTCTCACCTTTCTCCGTGCACCCGCCTGCTTACGTTTGAACCGAACCGACGTGCTCACTGGCCGCAAGCCCGCTGCGCCGGTCACTCCTGCACTAAGACCTATGCCTTAATCACCGGGACTTTTGTTATGGCAAGCAAATGATACTTTATCGCGAAAAAATTTTAGAAACGAAAATAGTTACGATATTTATGACACATGTCATTTTATTCAACATTGCTGTGCGTGGTTAATCGCTGATAGAGTGATATTGGAACGGCTTCTGATAGATTTTGACAGCATCGGCCTCAGTCACGCAGGGTCATGTGTGGCGACAGACAAGCATAACATACGGGTTTGGACGATAGTGACCCTTCGAGGTAAGGCTGGCGGGTGAGACATTATTGAGAAGCAAGAGATGAAAGGAAAGCAAGGGGGATAACGACACAAGGTGGACAATAAGCGAATAATAGGGCATCGCGTACTTTTTCAACAATGCTCATCACTTACTTTTTGGACCAACTGGAACAACCTGACTCATAACCGTACATGCTTTCAAGCAGATGCTTGTTATCGATTAGTGTGATAATTCTACATTATTAGACATCTACTAATTGAAATAACGTGAAAGGTACACTTAGTAGCGCATTATTGAAATTCATCGATGTTGGTGCCGGTCGTCGAATAAGCATGGCTCCATTTGCTCACGTTTTGGGGGCCATCTGCGTAACAATACATGACTCTCACAGCTGCCGTCGCCTCACTCACCTCACCCTGCGTAAAGCGTCTTACCGGTGTTCCTTTGCGGCATCAGTTTTACTCGGCGGTTTCAGCGTAAGGCAGGGTAAGCGCAGCGTAACGTAATGTAAATTTATGCCAGGACATACATCGCGGAGTTTTTGTTGCCCAGCCTTAGCAACTCGCCCGTGCATTCTATGCTATTCCAGGCATGTTTCACGGCGCGTGCGGTGTATGTGCGGGAGCCACGCTGGTGCTGACGCACAGTGTACAGTGCTCCAGCATGGACTTCCTGTGAGCCCACGCCGTGTCACAGACGTAAAGCGTAAATCACCGTGCTAGTCACGACGACTGGGTCCGCATAGCGTGAGTGCTCGCTTACGCGCATGGCCTTCATTTGATATTCTTCAGCATGTTCTGTATCATTCATCGGTTTCGAGTCTACAGTAGTTACACGGTTGTTATGTCATTGATTGCATGTTTATGCTCCCAGCGCACCCGCCAAAAATACTATCTTTAGTGACTGGCCCGAAATTACAAGGAGGGGAAAAACAATGAGAGGAAAAGCCGTTGATGATATGACGGTGTTGACCGCCAGGTACACGACCTCTTCACCTGTCGGTGTAGGACTGCTTTTATTCAGCTTGCCTTGTTTTGGTTGGCCGTGATTACCTGGCCGCTTTGCAGCTCGGCGGTATTCTTTGCTAGATGGTGCATACAATTTCGATCCACCCGCCAGGACTCGAACCCGGCCCTTTGGACTGCAGAGATTCGGGTTCGAGTGCAAATGGCGGATCCAAGTCCTAGACATCATCTGGCGAAAAATATCGCCAAGTTGCAGAACGACCACCGACCTTAGGCCCACCGAATCTGGGGAAGATAAATAAAAATATATCACGTTACCATTGCGATTGGAGTTGCCATACCACAAGATTGCGGACGATTCCTTAGACTTGTTAAGCTTTACAATTACAGTCCAGCTTTTTCTAGAAAAACGCTCTCTCTATGTATTCATTAAGGTCTCGGCCACACATCGCAAATACGGCACCCCAACTAAGTAATTCTGCCAAAACATAGCTCAAGCGGATAGTGTCAGCCCTTTGATGACTGGTGCAAATACCATTTGAGCTGAAAAGCTGCGTAGTAAGCGGATCACATAGAAGCGACGATGAGTTACGGTGCGTCATAAATCATGCTTCTCGGGCGACCTCGCATAATGGGATGGCACGATAGCGAGCGCGGAGGGGTCAGATATCACGCACGATGGCGAGCGCGGAGGGGTCAGATATCACGCACGATAGCGAGCGCGGAGGGGTCAGATATCACACACGATAGCGAGCGCGGAGGGGTCAGATGTCACGCACGATAGCGAGCGCGGAGGGGTCAGATATCACGCACGATAGCGAGTGCGGAGGGGTCAGATGTCACGCACGATGGCGAGCGCGGAGGGGTCAGATATCACACACGATAGCGAGCGCGGAGGGGTCAGATGTCACGCACGATGGCGAGCGCGGAGGGGTCAGATATCACACACGATAGCGAGCGCGGAGGGGTCAGATGTCACGCACGATAGCGAGCGCGGAGGGGTCAGATGTCACGCACGATGGCGAGCGCGGAGGGGTCAGATGTCACGCACGATAGCGAGCGCGGAGGGGTCAGATATCACGCACGATAGCGAACGCGGAGGGGTCAGATATCACGCACGATAGCGAGCGCGGAGGGGTCAGATATCACTCACGATAGCGAGCGCGGAGGGGTCAGATATCACGCACTGGACAGCGTACAACACAATGAGGGTGAAAAGTTTTGGTGTGTTCATGTCCAGTGTTAATTTTGAGGAGAACCGACGAAGACAAATCCGAAATCATATTGTTTCATATGTAGGTGACTAGCGGTACCTATGGGGTGCGCGTTTGATGTTCACCATCAAGTCACGCTACGTGACGCTTGACTGAAGGCCTAGGAAGCAGGTTTTATTCTAGTTCACATCAAAGCGTCCATGTCGAGCTTGGGGGGTACGTAGAATGTTATCAGTGCTTGATCACACCTGTGGACAGTGGTCGAGGCTTTGTGCGCACGAACACCGGTTTTCGCCTGCGTCCCAGCACCGCGTACTCCGTTTGGACGAGCCTTATCCTGTACCCGCCACGTCCTCCGAACTTCCGGCCTCTGCTGATCCTCATGGGTCGTCTGGCGAGGAGCTCGACTCTCCTGTTGTATCCGCGGCTGGCCCCGCTGATGGCCCTATCCCTCCCGAAATATCGGATCCGGCCTCTCTGTCATGCCTTCCGGGGTCCCTGTTCTCTCTGCCCCCCCCCCCCCCCCTCCCCCTCCTAGGCCTCACGTCGTTCTCCACGTCATATCCGCCCGCCGCGTCGCTTGGATGATTTTCTGTTTCATTTCCGTTAAATGTGTCCACGTGCCGGGTTCATGTGCCTGTGTGCACGCCGCACAATGCTGGTGGATGCTTTTCGCATTTGTCGAAGAATCCCACTTGGGGTCGTTGCCCTGTCGTCGTTGCTTGCCGCCGCGGTTATATCATGCTAAAGGTCTGCTGCGTTGTGCACGGAAGGCCAAACAAGTAGTCAGCGCCAGTCCGGCCTCAGGATGGCTGAGGACCAGTTGCCACGTCACGGCTGATATGTTTGTTACTGTTTACATTCGCGTTGCTCGCGGTTGGCTGCTCATCGGGCGGTTTGGCTGGTTCAGCCGTGACAGGCTGCCTGCGCGTTGGCGTATTGCCAGCACAGGATCGCCGTGACCAAGCCGAGTCTCCGTCTCTTACTGGCGGTGCGCTCCACGTGAGTTTATCAGTAGGCTCTAGCCTACCTGCGCGTGTGAGGTGATCTTGTGTTTTTTTTCAAGATTTCATCTTTTTTTGTTGTTGAACGGATGGATTTCTGAGGTCAGAGCTTACGCTTAGCGGTGCCCATCGTTTGAGTCCTGACCCCTACAAACCAATCGTGCAGTGTCGGGTCATTGGCGGCATTTGGTGGCAAAACTTTAATGAGCGGCAATGCTCGGCACGGTCCTTTCTGCGCTCTGACGTCATCTGATATTGAGTGCACTCGATGCCAATGACCGCAGGTCAGCGCACTCAAGGGCAAATAGTGAGCATCTACAGCGACTCGAACCCACTTCGCCACGAGTAGGTGGGTTGAAAGGCAGGCATTCCAACCAGCTGAGCTGTCGCGACGGACGGGACCTGAACGTGACTTTATGGGGTGGTGAATTAGTGTGGCAGTGAAAGGCGGATAAACTCCTTTCAGTGAAGGACATCTGTTTAGCGGTCTGGTTTGGAATGGCTCATCAATACTTTGGTGCTGCTGTAGTGGGTTATGTGCACGTGGCGGGACCTGTTTCAAAAGTGACGCACATTGCAAGTTCTTTGAGCCCGAGATCTGACTGACCTTTGTGGTGTATTTGGTCTCATTTACATCTCATACAGCGTGCTATTCATCAGCGATGCTGCTTATTATGCTGAGCTTGCTGCTTATTCACATGAAACCTACTGAGCTATGGCATTAATTTGTGAAGATGTGTCATACCATGCTGCTTTGTTTTACCGTACATTGTGAGCCATCAGCCATTTGTAAAAAAGTACGTGCGTGGGTCGTAAGACCACCTGGATGCAGTTGAAGTTACTCAGTATCGCTCACTTCTACACATATTTTGCGAATTTTCATACGCTCCAATCCGAAATATTCCAAAATTATCGGGGCAAGAAATCTCAAAGATGTTACCAATAACCGACGAAAGACCAAATCGGCCTATATCCGTTGGATTACCAAAATATTGGGCCTCGGAATGGCATCTGCTTAGGCATGACATCATAGTGAGCACTCAAGTGTGCCATTGTTGCATACGCCTTGCATAAAAATGGCAGTCATTGTGCGACGTTGTAGCGGGACCTTAAATAGGTGCGAGGGCTTCAGGGAAACCTCAACGCAAAGGCTGCCGCCGTTCAAAATAAACTGGATTTTGGTATTAGGTCAGTATTACATGAGCAGAATTGCCTCGGAGAACATATCTGCGGAATTTTATCTCCACCAGAACCCCGCCCACTTAGGCTCAGAAAGAGGAACCAATAGCTGGGAGCACATGCGTTCGCAGAGACCAAAGTTATCAAGCAGAGCAGTCACCAATTGTCGATTTGTGACAGAATTGTGACAAATGTGACAGACATTGGTGACAGAAATTGCAGAAGGCAATCAGCATGGATGATGAAGATCGTTTCCATGTGAACAAGCCAAGCTATGCGCCAAATAAGTCATTCTGCTAGTGAGATTCCGGGAGGACGGACGAGCCACTACATAACAACGCTGCATTCGTAAAGGGAGCCCCATTGTGGCCGGTCTTATCACGCAGCGCTGAAGGTGGGCCATCTGCTAGCAACGGCTACCCATCCATGGGAGTGTAGAGCAACACTGATGATGCGGATGGGACGAGGCGACGTCTATCGCCTCGACGCAGTAGAGCCCTGCCTAGGGCCGATCTTTATAACTTGCGGAGGTAGAGGACCTGCAGTGAACATACATAAGTGCCCATATGTTTGCGTAATTTGCGCTACTTTTTTTAGATCACTCAAGATCATGCCAGGCTTGAGGCCACAAGATTAGAGCTGATCGCCTTTATTCCAGATGTTACAACATTGCAGAACATTTGGATTCTGGCCCATGTACCCAGAAAATTTGAAAAGTTAAGTGATACTGAATGTGCTTTGTAACACCAATTTTAACACAGATACAATGGAGGCTTTGGAATAGATTTACAGATACCTGTGACGTCTCATGGCCGGGAGCTCGGTTTCGTATTTAGGGTCCACTGAAATAGGAATCGAGTCCTAGGAACAGCAAACTGAGCCGCAACACCAGGACACCACTGGAAACTGGACCCTCAGGGGACCAAGAAAGAGCAAGGATGTACAGAACTTATCGCAACGTTAAAATTAAACGTATAATCCTATGCCTTCTATTCGTTTGAGCGGGAAGTGGTGTGTTTTTTACTACCTAAGCACCGTAAGTAGTTCTCGGCGGGACGCGATTTAAGTTGTCTTATTTACACAAGTAGCAAAATATGGCGGATTTCTATGGTGAACTTCGGCAGAGCGCTCTCTCTCTCTCTCTCTGTCTGTCTGTCTGTCTGTCTGTCTGTCTGTCTGTCTGTCTGTCTGTCTGTCTGTCTGTCTGTCTGTCTGTCTGTCTGTCTGTCTCTCTCTCTCTCTCTCTCTCTCTCTCTCTCTCTCTCTCTCTCTCTGTCTCTCTCTCTCTCTCTCTCTCTCTCTCTCTCTCTCTCTCTCTCTCTCTCTCTCTCTCTCTCTCTCTCTCTCTCTCTCTCTCTCTCTCTCTCCACAAAATTCCGAAAACGAACAAAATTCGCGATCATTCAGAATGGTCAGTTTTAACAGAATATTTAGCTTTGGTGGCGACACTGGCCTCCATCACCTCTTTTGTGAATATTCTACGGAAGTTTGACAACAAGATATCAAGTCTAGAGACCTCTCGTTATCGCAGGAAATGTGTGGAGGTGTCCAGATCACCACAGCTATAACGTTATCACCCGGCTCCTCGCAAAGGGCTTCGAGAGGGGATACAATATTGGAAATCAGGCATTCAAAACCTTCATGAACCAGAGCGTCATGAACGTTGCGCATACATGTGTGTCTATGCACGTGTGGGAGGCACGTATGGTGCTCACATGGCATGCTCATGTGAGGTGCTCATAGGCATGCTCACCGCGGGTAATATGTAGCTGACCATGTCCATACTTACTCACAAGCATGATAAAACATGCTTTTGTTCTGGCGCTGGTGCCACGCTCTAACAATCAAGCGGGGAACCCGACACGGAAAACTCCCTCCTAAGGCAAAACAACGCAGTGAAACAATGTCTACGCCGCATCATACAGAGCCAACTTCGGCGCCTCTCCAGAGGCGGCGGCCCGCCCCCCGCTGCCGGGGCCGGCTCTGGTGGGACGGGTCTGCGCGCAGGCAACCTCCAGGGGCCGGATATTGCTTGCCGGAGGGCACGGAGGCCAGCGGGGTCGCGGCGCGGGGGGCGCTGCTGGCTGGGCGGCTTGCTGCGGCGCTGTCTAATGAGAGCCGCCACGGGGCCCCGGTCCTGACCAGCGGCGCGCGGCACGTCCGCCGGTCCAACTCCGGCTTATTGGCGGTCCACGCCCACCACTGCAGCCGACTGCTATGTGATGCCAGGTTTCCAGCGTCGCCGGAATGCTCGTGCTACCGGATTACGATTGGAAAGCCACCCAAGTGTAACCAGAATGTCATGTCGAGCGAGACATGTCAACTTCGCCGTTGCTTCCGCAGACTGACCGCGTTACGGCGACACCGCTGAAGCAAAAGCGGAACGTGACTCTTCTCAAGCAGCTCCGTAAGAAAATATCCACTGATCCGAGGTATGGGCGCTGGCCATCGCCTCCTGTCCTCCACCGTTCCAGGACTGCGCTGTGCTCAGCTTCAGAGGCGTCACTTTGACGTTTGAGAGTCTCAGACTCCCGATGCTGACTTCAGACCCCCCCCCCCTTCCACGCTCCCCTGGGCCTCCTCGGTTCATATGAGCAAAGAGCGAGCACGGGCAAAAAAAAATCCAGAAAAAAATGATTGATTATCGGTATGCTAGACACCTAGACGCATCACTATTATTGTCATGCTCACTTCGTACTTAATAGTACCCTGTTGATGCATAAAGGTTTCGTCTTGCCAACTTCTTCATATGTTAGGCTAGTCTGGAAGTGTTTGACAAGACAACGGGTATTCACATTGGTAGTAGATCACCTGATGATACCTGCATTGGAGTAGAGAATAATTTGCTTATTGACAAGCTGCAGCTCTTTACTGCAATACGCGGCAAGGCTGGCTCAAAAAAGCTAACCCGCTGTTTCACTCAGATAACACAGCACCAATAGCCTTATTCCTCGGGGAATACCAAGGAGATGGAGATATAGATTATTTATGTGAATAATGTTATCTATGTGAATAATATTTTGAACTGTCCTATCTATGCGAATAATGCTCGTTCGCTAATGCACTGAACAACTTGCGCTGTTTCACCCAACACTGGCAAGTGTATCTGTTACACAATAGTGACTGGTGGTATTCGACTACCAGTCAAACGACGGAATACGTTTGGCGACAGCGGTAGTTACCAGTGATGCAATACCAGTCACATTGTCAACGGGACGATTTGAAGTGCGGTTCGGTGGCGTATCCTGCGCCTGGTTGTACCTACCACGAAAAAGGTGGCGAGAAGGGAAATTAACATGATTTCTGCGGTGCGTTCCAGAGTGAAATAAATGTTTGTTGGCATCATGTTAATGGCCTTTTGCCAAAAGATGTAACTATGAGCAGAACTTTGAACTGTCAAGTTTTCTCAATCTAACCGTTTTTTTATTGCTAGGTCGTTCAACTTTAGCCTTCTGATATACCGCAGGGCGATGATTTTCAACATGAAAACTTCCAACCATTCATCCTAAAACGCCCACATTTAAAGTCTTTCTTGCCTATATCAACTTCCAACACGTATCAAAACGCTAGTAACGCTATTGTTGCAGGGCGGCCACCCTGGAGGCCCATTCGGTCTTTATCTACTTTGATCTTCCAGTTATCGACATGTGTGTTGGGAATGTCGTGCAAGTTCAGTCTCGTTTTCCTCATATATTGTTACATTGTGGCAGTGTAATTGCTATTTTCTTATAGCTTCACGTCCATGCATGTTAGGCTACGCTGTTCTTCATCAAATCGCGTTTTACGTCTCAGGAAAACTACGATGAATGATTACCGTCGTCCATTTTCGTTGATTACGGGAGAAAAAATTACTGAAACGTTTTTCTTTGAATTGCACCCCATTTTAAGCATTTAGAAACACAATTTCTCATCGCCTTGAATTTGGAAGTCATTCCTCCACAGTGAAACAATTTTTGAATCCACGAACTGTATTAAACAATTGTATTCTGTTTTGAATTGAATGCTCCGCAAGTGAAGATATTCAGGCAAACACCAGATGTGATGAAATAAGCTCACTTGTAAATATTGGCATGCCTATAAGTTAAACAGACTGCTTTAGAGAACAGAATTCCACTATTTAAGAAATATGCGCCCCAATACGTTATCGTTTAGTCGTATCATGGGACGTTTCTATCACGCCAGAGTGGCTACCAAGGTGGCTGTCCGAAACTTGTCATCGTAGCGGATGGGCTGAAATCATATGTAGTAGTGTATCTCGTTGAGAGGTGTGGTGCTAATTGGTGCGTTGTTCACAGAACCCAAACATCCCTACGTACGTGTGTTTTGGCATTATCTCGTGAATAATATTGTTTACTTGCATTCATACGCTCGTTTGTCGCGCTCCCTCTTAAGTCATTCGATTCACATAATTATTTCCGTCGTGACTTGTACCTCTGCCCAAATTTCTGTATGATATCGCACAAAACGTGATTCGTGATATAAATTTCTCAGCCAAAACCATATACAAATGCGGAAGACGTCCTGTAAGCAGCGAGGACCTAAATTATATGAGAATGTGTCAATTTCAAGACGTTCATGACGTTATTATGGCGCCATAGATGCCTGGGTGACCAGGAAATGGTCTCCCCAAAATAGTCCGCACATTTTCGCGGGCGCATATCTTAGAAACTAGATGGGCCTAGCTCTTAAGAAGGGCAGGGCTGTGAGCTGCACCAAACGATCTTCAAAATGGCTAATTCAATTCGAAACCCCATATGTATGTGGAACACTCTCTTAAAAGTAGCCGGAATCCGGGGAGGAATCAGGTTTTGCGGGCAGGCTATGTGGACCTTATCCCTCAGACGGATGTTGAAAGGCGACACTCCTGGTAAGGATGGTCAGTTTACCCATGTTTACGGAGCTATACACGACACTTGTAAGTCATCAGTTACTAAGCCATTGCCAGTGGCGCGCCACTTATCTGCAAATCATGATCACTGTCCTAGAGCAGCGGTATTACGCGCTCGGCGGGACCGGGTGAAACGGGTTACGGTACGGTATTAGCCCACCGATTTGTGTCTGAATGCGTGTCATATAGAAAACTGGGCTCCTTACCCTTGATTTTTGAAAACGTTTTGCCAGGCGTGCAACCCGTTTGACAAGTTTTGGCTTCAACATGCGATGAACGGGAGAGCATTCTGTCGTTCAGAAGACTTTTCCGTTGGGATTAATGCCTTTAGGCCTCGCTTGGTCACTACATCTGGAAAAGTGTATTGCGGTGCTCCCATCGTGCAACAGCCATTTAACTCATAAAAATCCAGCTTAACTGTCTTCGTTTGCGTCGGGATGTAGCGGGACTGATTTGGCACTGGAAAGAGCCGTGCCGCGTTGTTGGCAGGGAGCGTAATTAGTGTTTGGATGCGATGAACCGGTGAGGACTGCAGAGCGTGATCGTGTTGTAACAGGCATCTATCTATCTATCTATCTATCTATCTATCTATCTATCTATCTATATATATATATATATATATATATATATATATATATATATATATATATCCCCCGTGAGACCCCGGAACCGACAAAACTACAGACACCAAGTGAAGAGGCCTGTTGGCCTGTACCTGAACTCACTTAGCTCAAAGTCTGAGGTTCCTAGGCCGTGACTTTCGTATTAAATAAGGTCAAACAATGTCCATCTCCAGATTGGTCTCCAGAGTGCCCTCAGAACCTAGATACCTGTTCTAAAAAAGTCCACATTCTCATTTAAGGTCAGCGACTTTGCTTCACCTTTCGAAGGCCATGGTGACCAAAATTATGTAAGACCGTTTTGAATCTTGCCTTTGAATAAGCGGCAAGGATTACGTTAGACACAATGTTCCTAAAAGAAAAATGTTGACCTGAGTCATTTTATGTTAGCGATCTATTTTGACCTTTAAAGATTTCATGAAAGATGCACAATGCGGCTCATTTCATCAATAAATTCGAAATGTGCACCACAAACTGCTGCATACAGTAAACCATTGAGTAATAAAACAGATTTGCTTTGACCTTGCTCTGACCATCAACGCTGACCTTAAGTCGCTGGAATTTCTTCATTCAACTGTTGCGCTGCTTAAGAATTATCTCAGAGATATATATCTAACTTCGTCCTCGTCTAAGATTCTAAGCCTCTAAAAGATGTATGTCTATGGCCTCGTCTAACACTCCGTTGTTGCATCAGATTAAACGATTCCCGAAAAAATTACTCCGCGGAATCCATGGCCTGAATTTGACCTGCTGTAAGTCAGCGACCCTACAGGGTACATCTAAATTTTTTGATATCGAACAATCCGCTATTCAATTTTCCACAGCTATGCAAAATTTGGCGCGGCTGCGCCGCGCCGTTCGGAAAGCATTCTGGAAAAACCCTGGAGGGGTCAATTTGACCCCACCTAAATGCGTGATAATTGGGGAGGGAATAATCCCCAACGGTGACTGCAAAATTCCTCTCCCTAAAGTCAACCACAAACTCCCTTCCCTCCTTCCTCCCCTCCCCTCCCCAGTGAAAACCTTGGTTTGCCGGCAGCTCACACCCGATCAGTCCTTTGAAACAGTCCAGGCAGAGATCTGTGTCACGGTGGATGCATGCGTTATATATGGGGCCTTGCGTTCTATAGTGAGGCGGCTGTTCTTAACTAAGCAAAGAATAAAACCAAAAATGAGCGAGAAGACTCTTTGGAGATGTCAGACAGTTTTGCGTCACACAAGCCAGACAGGGTAGGTCAAACAGACAGCCAGTGGTGGGTGCCACATGTCTTGCGTATTGTAAAATATCAACACATGCTCTCAATCTTATAAATACGTGTCCACGTCTGTCAGCTGGAATTTGATTGCCGTAGATGCATGCCAAAATTGAGCTTACTACATGGCCAACAGGTGCAAGTCACACCTGTGACAGTTCTGCAAGACTATGCTCTGACTGCTTCAATTTCATAGATAGCTACGACCGCACCTCAGATGCGCTAGATCGCGTAAAAACGCGGCAAATCTCGCTGACGGGTCAATGCAAAATGCATTGCTCCGGGCATGTCGAAGGTGACGTCACGCAAGTAAGATCCTCGCTGGCGGGACAATTCAAAATGCATTGCTCTGAGCATGTTGAACGTCACGTCACGTAGGCGACATGCTCGCTGGCGAGACAATGCAACATGCATTGCTCTGAACATTTCGAACGTGACGTCACGCAGGTGAAATTCTCGCTGACGGGAAAATTCAAAATGTATAGCTACAAACATGCCGAACGTGACGTCATGCAGGTGAGATCCTCACTGGCGGGTCAATTCAAAATGCATAGCTCCAAACACGTTGAACGTGACGTCACACAGGTAACATCCAACTGCACGTGGGACCTGTCCTTTTACCCCGGAGTCTGTGGGCTCTGTAGCAAATTGATTCCGGTAGAGACATTCTCTGAAGGGTTTTGGAGACAAATGCAATTTATCCTTCGGTTCTTTTCATGTAGGATCATAATGTTTATGTTGCATTTTTCGGACTTGGGCTATAGATGACCACTCTTACGGTACTCACTCAGCATCTATTACTGCAGTTTTCCGGGGAGGGGGGAGAAGAAAAAAATAGGGAGAGCTTTTCATGTACCGCTCCTTCGCTGCCATCGCCCGTGTCTGCTTCCTTCACCTGTATGGGTTGTCAAACAAACAATTTTACAGCGTAGCGTACTATGATCCATACAAAACATCGCCCATGCCAGTCATTGTTTACCTATCAGTATCAAAACACGGAGAATCAGCTGATGTTTGGGTCTCATTAGACGTGCATATGCACCGAAATAACTGCTGTAAAGTTGCCTTGCACTCCTACGCACCGGCTGCATGAGACAACGCAGCCATGCCACCCCGATTTTTACGATGACTGTAAATATACGTGTCACTTCACTGCGTCCCAAGCGGGGGGGGGGGGGGGCCATGACTAAAAAATGTTCCTAAAAAACCGAAAAACCTGCCATGCCGATCCCCAGTCACCGCTGGCTTCAAATGAGCACTTTCGCGGCAGCCGGTGGGCGCGTATACGGTGATAACCTGCAGCTCTTCTTCGCCTCCAGATAGCAAGGGTGCAAACAGCTTCATGCTGTTGATACTAGAAGCCACCCCTTAGCCGACCAAGGTCAGAGACGGTGCATGAGGACGGCAGAGACGGCCGCTGACGCGCCTGGTCTGGGGCTACTGCTGCAGACGCTCGTCGCGGGCTCCAGCCGGCGGATCGCCCGACACAGCCCGAAAGTGACCTGGTCGCTCTCACTGCACTGAAGGCTGCCGTGGACACAGGACTTCAGCATGCTGATCGCGCTTCTCGTCTGTATGCTGGCGCTGGTAGCTTTCGTGGTCATACGCAGAGGCAAAGAGAAAAACCACCCGCCAGGTAAGTGGTCCATTATTTGTAATAGCTGGTCCTGAGGTCAGTGGCCGCGTCGTTGCCATGGTGCGGGGGGGGGGGGGACGCTGCCACACGTGAGATCGATTTGCCCGACCTGTCGATCCCTCCTTGAGAGCGATCGATGCTTTGCGATTCCAGATAGAACTGCCATTAGTACCAGCAAAATCGCTGCCAATCGCTGTGTTAGCTGTGCTGTTGAACGGTTCAGTGGGCTTGTCATCAAGCAAATCACGCGCGATCCAGTACGTCGAAGGATCTCGCCCTTCCGGGCATAGCGTTAAGGATGGATGTCAGATCTCAGCAACCAAAGAAGAGAAACACGTGAAACCAACTCCACGGTGAAGGCGCGTGCCCCATCTGAAAATCACGTAGCCACAATGCTCAACAATGCTAAACTGCTGGCCGGCGCGTGCGCCGCTGTACGACCGGGAACCAGCCAGTGGTACCCTTGTCAAAGCATGGGTCGGCTACATGCTGTGGCGGCCTGAACCAAGAGACGTTGAGCGACGTAGTTTGTCGGCCTAGTTGATCTGGCCCAGTGTGACCAAGGTCCGCCGAAGACAGTGGCGTTTTTCCCCGTACTTTGGCCACGACAATTGAAAGTGTGGGTCATCACAGATTATTTGATTTCGTCTTCGGAGACTGTCCGGCCCGGCCTGACTCAAAGACAACCAGTTTTGACCCAATGTGGTCTGTGAATGAGCGCGCGTGCCCTACATCACCGACCCTCTAGATGCTAACCTTAAACGAAAACATAAAATGACCGTTGTTTTGATCCGACCCATCAGACAGCTTGACCTTCGCTAGACAAAGCGACAGTGCGGCAGGTAATAGCTTAACCTCCGCTAGACAAAGGGACAGTGCGGCAGGTAATAGCTTGATTCAGCTCAAGTACCAGAGCCGTGGTATATTGCGCTGGTTGTGAATAATTCTGACTATCGGTACGTTGAAAAAGTGTGTTGTTGGTTCCGTTTCAGGTCCTGGTGGGCTGCCATTTATCGGCCAAGTGTTTTCAATCAACTGGAAGCACCAGGATTTCGCCTTCATGAAATGGTACAAGCAGTACGGGCCCATCTACAAGGTCCGCGCGGGCCCAGAGACCATTGTTGTTCTATCCGACCCCGAGTTGATCAGGGAGGCCTTTAACAAGCCCGCGACCCAGGGCCGGCAGAGCAACGCAGCGTTCACGCTGCTTTATGCCGACAAGGGCATCATCTTCACCAGTGGGGAACTGTGGCATCAGACACGTCGCTTTACCTTGTTCCATCTGAGGAATTTCGGCATGGGCAAGTCTAGACTGGAGGCTGTTATCCATGAGCAGATCGATGGCTTCATGAATGTCGTTCTGGCCCCCAGCGAGGGACGGGCGTTGTCGCTCAACAGGGCCCTGGACATCTCTGTCGCTAACATTATCTGGGGCATCGTAGCCGGGGAGAGCCTTGGCATTGAAGACGAAAGGATTCTGGAGGTCATGGACAACGTTAGAAAGCTCAACGAGGTCGGCTTCCGCATTCTTCTCCTCGGAACGATTCCCGCTCTCTTGAACCTGCCAGACCGCCTGACGGGACTCAACGAAGTGCTCAAGTGCTTCCACTACCCGATCAACAACCTTCTCCAACCAGCCATCAACCTGCACAAAAAATCTGTGGATCTTGGCGGCGAACCGCGCGACTACATCGACTGCTTCTTACAAGAACAGAGCAAGCACCCAACCCTTTACACCGAGCGCCACTTGTTACGCAGCCTCATCGACTTGTTCTTCGCCGGTTTCGACACGACCTCCACGACGCTCCGCTGGGCCTTCTGCTTCCTTTGCGCGCGGCCTGACGTGCAGGAGCGCCTGGCGGCCGAGCTTCACCAGGTGGTGGGCAGGGAGCGCGCGCCCACGCTCGCCGACCGGCCGCACCTGCCGTTCACCGAGGCCGTGCTGATGGAGACGCAGCGGCTGGCCAACATCGCACCCATTGGCGTACCGCACGTGAGCACGGCCGAGTTCCAGCTGGGTGGCTACACCGTGCCGCGTGGTGCGCAGGTGATCTCGCTGCTCACGGCTGTCCACCATAACGAGGCGTACTTTCCGGAGCCGGCGCGGTTTCTACCGGAGCGCTTCCTGGATGCCGAAGGGAAGGTGAAACCGAACAAGGCGCTCATGCCTTTCTCCGTGGGCAAGCGATCCTGCATGGGCGAGGCGATGGCGCGCGCCGAGCTTTTCCTCTTCGTCACAACCGTCGTGCAAAAGTTCCGCCTGCGCTTCCCCGACGGCTTTACACACGACTTCTCCATCAATGAGGAGAGGGCATTTGTCAATGAGCCGTTGCCATACTCTCTCATTCCAGAGAGGCGTTAGGTTGGTGTACCGGTCGTCTGGTGGAGGGTCGCTTCTGGCTAGCCGCCTTTTGGTGCAGACCACTGACATTGCATAACTTTAAACGTGTCATTTTGTCAGCGGCTCGGCACTTGGGTTGGGTAGGTTAATTGGGATCGATCATCCCGCTGAGGACCTGCAATTCATGCGGGGATGGTTGCCCGCCATAGTTTCCATAGGGGAACACATTGTTTCCCGCGATCAGGTTCGTGGTGGGCCTAGATTGTGTCAATGTATTCACGTTTTCCAAGCTACTGCACATCAAGTAGGTCGCATGATGGGTCAGAGGCCGTGCTATGATCCAGATCTAACAAGTAGGCTGTGCTTTGCTTATTGCTGAGCCTCTCCAGGCTGACCTAATCATGATCCAGGTCAGAACAGCTGCCCCTCAGCGCACCGTATGTACAAGGTTGTCCAGAAGATCGGTCCCTCGTCTTCGCCAGACTGCGTGCTATTTTAATTTCCGACGCCGTCGATGTTTGTTGTTGCCAGCTTACACCTGTGTCGAGGTTTGTTGTTGCCAGCTTACACCTGTGTCGAGGTTTGTTGTTGCCAGTTTACACCTGTGTCGAGGTTTGTTGTTGCCAGCTAACACCTGTGTCGAGATTGTGGTTGCCAGCTTACACCTGTGTCGAGGTTTGTTGTTGCCAGCTTACACCTGTGTCGAGGTTTGTTGTTGCCAGCTTACACCTGTGCTATAATGTATACTTTCTAGATACATTTGCTGGTACAAAAGATACACGGACAGCGTCAAAGATATTGGACCAACTTCAGCCCTTGTACATCATGTTTTTGAATTGCATGAACTTAATTTTTAATATCAGCGTGCAATTTTTGTCGCAAGGTTCCACGTTTTGCGGTCACGTAAATGTTTAGCTGTAAGTTTCGTCGGACGGAATAGGCAGTTTGCATATTTTTCCCGTGTATATTATGCGTAGTTATCGTAATCTATATACAGTGGAGAAGAAGTAGTAGTGGAGGTAGTACAAGTAGAAGTAGCACTAGTAGAAGATAAGCATATATATATATATATATATATATATGTATATATGTCTACGTAATTGTTCTAACGGATATACAGTGTGTCAGGGGCAGTAGTAGTAGTAGTAGCAGTAGTAGTAGGCATACCATATATGTATGTAACATGCGTGTGCATCTGCTTATAAAAGTCTAGTGAGTCCAGCATTTCTAGACGAATAAATTGGAGCTAAGGAAACTTGCCTTTTCTTCGAGGCTGTTTGTCAATGTTTTTGCCGGGATGAACTATTGCTAATGTGTAAATCTGCGAGCATAATACGCAAGCGGCGGCATATCCAATTTGTGCATGGTAAAGATTCACAGAGCGTGCGCATAAAAATATGTTTGTGTGTATGCATATATATATATATATATATATATATATATATATATATATATATATATATATATAGGTATATGCACATGTATTAGTAAAGACGGCAGAATATCTTTTTCATACAAACGTAAGCCTTTTTCCCCATGGATAAAAGCACAGAAGAGTTTTTAAAAAGATCTCAATGTCGATTAAAGGTTTAGGAATGCTGTTGATTTGCGTATTGCTCTATGAAATTTTAGTACACACTAACCCCTCTGACTAACCCAATCTAACCTAACATAATCTGACCTCTTTAAGAAGGGCGGTGGTGAACTGCATCGAATTATTTTCAAATAGTTTTTTATCTTAGCCGTTTGTTGTGTGACTGAGAAACCTTTGCGGTTAGGTGCCATTTCGCCTTTGGGACCTTCATAATGACAGAAGCGCAAGTTAGAATTGTGAACGCCAGGGGGGCTCGAGGGGCCGAAAGGATAGCCAGAGGCCCCTCAAGAAATTGTGTCCCTGCGGTTCGGAACCTTCGCATTTTAATGAGTGATTTTTCCAGGGATCGGTAGTCCCTGGAAAATTAAGGGCTCTGGAGGAGAAGTAAAGCGGCTTCCGCTTTTTTGGAGATAGAAGTTTTATACTGAGAACCTTTCTTTAAGCTTTGTGCCCCAACCTTGCCAGAATTCTGCCTGGGCCTCTGCATAGTGCTGACCAGTGGCTTGCGCGGCACAAGGCGGTGCGTGACTGCAGCGATATGAGAGCTATAAGAGATGTACAGGCGCTCGTAGCCTTCACGTACAGTATTTGATACGTTCAACCCACCCGCTATCCGCGAGGATGCACCCACACCCCACTCGTTGGACATTCCTTGTGTCTTGTTACCACCCTTTATCCACCCGTTTGCAACTTCCTACCATTTGTGCTCTAGTTTTTGTAAAGTTTCAGATAAGTTTAAACTTAGACTTGCTCTTTTGTAATGATACTCGCAACTGTAGGATGTTTAAAGCTAATTACTATGAAAGACGCGCAGAGAATAGCACTGCGGAGTATGTTCTACGTATCTGCCCAACATTTTCCAAGCATCATATTCATGCCCGTACCATGCTCGCAACATTCCCCAAATCTGAGTGCAACTTAGCTCATTAGCCATTTCGTGTGGGTGGGTGTGGGTATCTATGCGTTCACGCAATCCTGGCAAGTCTCTACTAGGCTCGGCGATTACAAGTACGCACACACATTCACATTGGTCTGAAATGCACAGTCTGCACCTCCCTTCACAAAAACACATCACGTTTTCAAAAAATTCAGCAAAACTCCTGTCTCATCACCTAAAGACGCATGTAAACGCAGACTTGCTAATGCGTCTTTGTATTTACACGGAAGGGAGGGACAATCCTGCATTGCACGGACGCAGTTCAACATTGCATGGAAACAAAGCACATTTTGGGCCCATGACCCCTACAAGGAAATTAAAATTTTCCATCGCCGCCGAGAAGTGTGGGAAGGTTTTAAACGGCCAAAATGACGAGCGCGTACTCTGGCGTCTGGTGTGCAGGGAGCTTTCTATTGAGAGGATTGGCGAATGTACCTGCAATTTCGGCGCCCTCCGCGGACGTAGCTAGGGAGGGGGCAAGGAGACATGACTCACATTGAGCAAATTGCTTTATATTAAATGCTGGGCAACGTCACTGAAATTTTGTCAAAATTTGCAGGAGTTCGTAAAAACTAGACATTAGTTGCCACTGCTGAGAAATTTTGGCTATGTGCCTGGCTGAGTCTGAATTTCTCCAACGTTTTTACAAAGTTCCAAAGCGGGTGGAAAAACTCACAATCTGGTGCATATTGAGTTTGGGCTTAACTATTTTATCGTATGCAGCCCACCCAACTTATTTTGCATCACTGTGTCCCACTGGGCCAAACTCATGCGAAATCGCCCGGAATCTCTGGCGTAAGTGTAAACTTCTTGCCCCTGGAGGTCCATGGCACACTTGGTCCCACTCATAACTACGTTCCTTCTTTGAAACACGTGACCTTAAACAAATTAGCTTAGGGCCCCAGCTCTTTAAATCTCGTGCCTATGACTTTCCATGCCAAAACTGCAAACCTTCTCCATCTTTATCATGCACAGAACACATTGAATCGACTCAATTAAGTACAAAAGAAAGAAGTAAATAGGCGCAACTGCCATCACTATATTTCGGATGACAATCCTTCGTCCGCTGACTAACCACAAGTCATGAAATCCATCAAGCACGCAATCGATCGCGAACATGATACAAACTACCTAAACATTTGACATTTCCCGAATTTACTGAAACATGTTTTTCACTGAAGGACAGAACGGTGGACACTATACAAAATACCCGAATACACACGACATGATAGCACAGAACGTTTGCGGACGCATATGAAATACTCAGATACATCCTACACAATATCACAATGCAGTTATGATGCACTTAGTCCATAATATAGCTATGCCAGACCAGTTGCTATCACAAAAGAGACCAGATGGCCGCGTTTTTATTCATGGCGGGATTGACACGCGCCCGGTGGCCAATCGAATACCCTTCGCTCGGGTGGAGGTCAATGAGACCCTTCCCTGAGATCTAAAAAACTAAGATAGCTAGTTACGCCAGACTCACAGGTTGGGTTGACCTGCACGGCAAAAAACGTGCGTCAAAATTGTAGGCTCCTAGGTTATGATCTAGGTGTCAAATAAGGTCAAGCAAGTTACAACTCCAGACTGGTGTCCAAAGTGCCCCCAAACTGCTTCATGCAACCCCTTGAACCTAGATACCTGCTCTTAGCAAAAGGCCACCGGTTTTCGCTCGAGGTCAGTAAAGTTTTTGCCTCTAGACTAGAAGATCAAGGTGGCGAAAAACCTACGAGATTGCTCCAAGTTTGCCATTCGAAAAGTGTCGGGATTACGCTAGGAGGTGTGTTCCTAAAAACAGACTTTTGACATTAGCCGTTTTAGATCAGAGATCAACTTCGATCTTAAAGAAATCCATAAAACATGTATGTTGAGGTTCCTATCATTAATACATTCCGATAATAGTTCCAGAAACCACCAAAAGCAGCATGTTCTCGGATACAAAGTCGGTTGGTTTTTACCTTGATCTGACTTTTATACGTGAACTTAGGTCAATGGAGTCTGCTTTAATTATAAGTTTTATTTATGTTTGTCTAAGAAACTATCGCAGAGATGCATGTCTTTGTATAACACTCCGTTGTCTCATCATGTTAAACGATTCCATAGAAATGGCCTTTGCTGACATCCATGGCACGACTTTAAGCTGCCATAGGTCAGCTACCTCACAAGGTGCATATAATTCTGTTCACAAGATATTCACTACTTAACTGCCTTCACTTGTGCAAAGTATGGCGCGGCTACGTCACGCAGTTTCAAAGTCATTCCGGAAAAAACTTTCGGAGGGGTGGTGGCCAAAATTGACCCCACACACAATGCGCGTGTAAGATCCTAAATAAGCATGGCCTCTTTACGTTTTCATTCAAAATAGCCATGGACTTTACCCAACATTTTCCCCGCTATTGGAACTTCAGGAGACACCAAAACTATGAAGAGCATGAGAACGAATTTCAATCGGGCTGTTGATGCCCTTAAAGGCGACATGGCTATGATTAACGAAGCGTTCTCTCACGGGGCATGTGCACGCCCCCAACTAGGTGGCAGGGTCAAGTGTGCAGCTGACTTTACAAACCACGTCGTTCGTCGAGCAGGTTTCATTGAAGCCAGATGTGCAGTGAATGCATGCACCTCGCTTGATGGGGCAGACTGGGCCCCGCATATCAGTGCGAACGAAGTGCTGCATTAACACGCACTCGGGTGGGGGGGGGGGGCAAATTGACCCCCTCCCCCCGAAGATTTTTCCAGAACCGTTTCCGAACGGCGCGACGCAGCCGCGCTAAATTTTTGATAGGTACAGACAATTGAATAGCGGATTGTTTGACATCAAACATTTTGATATGCCTGGTAAGGTCGCTGACTTATGGCAGGTCGAAGTCAGACCATGGTTTCAGCGAAGTCAATTTCTAGGCAGTCGTTCTATCTGATGCAACAACGGAGCGTTAGACGAAGCCATACATCTATGAGATGCTTTCTTAGGCAACACCAATATTGAATGAGCAAATTGCGTTGACCTCAGGTCAGGTACAAAGGTCAGACCAAGGTCAAAACCAACTGTTTTTTTTACTCTAGGGCATGCAGTATTGGACAGTTTCTGATGCTCATTTTGAATTTATTGATAGCAGGAGCCGCATTATATATCTTCAATTGACTTCTTAGAGGTCAGAATAGGTAATTGGCCTAAAATGACCAAGGTCAACATTTTGTTTTTAGAAACATATTGCCTAGCGTAATCTTTTTCGCTTATTCAGATGCAAAACTCAGAGTAGTCTTGCTAAGATTTTGGTCACCATGACCTTTAAAAGGTCAAAAAAGGTTACTGATATTAACTGAACATGTGAACTTTTGCTTAGAAACACTTATCTAGGTTCTGGGGGCATTTTGGAGACCAACCTGGAAGTTGACCTTATTTGACCTTATTCTACCCGGAGGTCATGACCTAGGAACCTCAAACTCTGATCTAAGTGAGTTTACGTACAGGTCAATGCACCCTGTGAGTGGTGTCCTTGGCTCTCTTAGTTTTCAAGATCTCAGGGGGGTCAAACTGGCCCCCCCCCCCAACCGAGCGAGGGGTATCTAGCCGGCCACCCGGGCGCGTGTTGATGAATTTCAACTCGACCATGCTATTTTACATGGTCGGGCGCTGCTGCTCACCAACCGCTCTACCTTTCCGCACAGCGCATCAACAACAAACAGCAAAAGGATAAACGTTACGTTTGGTGTGCTTTGTTTTGGTCTCCGTGCTATGCTCCCTTCAAAGCCATGTCTCTGAGTGGGCTGTTCATGAGCACGGCGTCCCTGAGCATTTTGTCCGCTGATTTGCCGGAGTGTTTTAAAAATTAG